AGCTAAATGCTAACCAGATATCAAGGCTTCTAAAAAGTTTCATGCCTCTCGACCAAATGTCTCTCGACTTTCTTAAAGGACCAGATAGTAAATACTTTTGGCTTTGCAGACCACATGGTCTGCGTCACAGTACTCAAAGTTGAACAAAATACTGACAATACATCAACAAATGGGTATGGTTGGGTTCCAAGCACATTTAATTTACCAAATCCGGGAGAGAACCAGACTCGATGCTAGGGCCACAGTTTGCTGATCACTTGCTCTGGACCTTCCCTCTAGAACTCAGCCCACTCCCACTCCCTATTTCCCCAGATTTGTCCCCTATAACTGTTCTCTAAATAGAGCAGCCTCGCAAACAAGTAGACAGACAATCTGTCTTGCTTGTTAGAATCCCCGAGTCAGTGAAGAAGTGAAGGTGCAGGGGATATTTCCAGAGAAATCTTCTGTAATGTGTGACTCAACCTCAATTCAAAGACATCCTCTTCGGGCTCAGTGAAAAGTCTTTTCCCCTGAAATATGGCTTTCTCAAAGGAAATCAGAGTCTTAGCCTGCCCTCTAGTGGCAAATTGGAGTATTGCCAAAGGGGAAGCGTGGGACCAAGATGAGGGCAACAAGATACTTTTTGTTTTAATTTTGCATTCACTTTACCTTGTATGTAACTTTTAATTATTTATTTCTGGCTGCGTTGGGTCTTTGTGGCTGCGCAGGCTTTTCTCTAGTTACGGTGAGCAGGGGCTACACTCTCGCTGCGGTTGAGCAGGCTTCTCAGCGCGCTGGCTGCTCTTGTTGCAGAGCACAGGCTCTCGGGTGAGCCGGCTTCAGTAGTGGCGGCTCCCAGGGTCGAGAGCACAGACTCAATAATTGTTGCTTACGGGCTTAGTTTGGCTTCCCCTATGGCTGAGACGATAAAGACCCACCTGCCAAGGCAGGAGATCAGGGTTCGATTCCTGGGTCAGGAAGATCCTCTGGAGAAGGGAATGGCAACCCACTCCAATAATCTTGCCTGGAGAATTCCATGGACAGAGGAGCCTAGCGGGCGAGGAGCCTAGCAGGCTACAGTCCATGGGGTCACAAAGGGCCGGACATGACTAAGGGACTAACACACACACACAGGGTTAGTTGCTCCATTTCATGTGGGATCCTCCCAGATCAGGGATTGAGTCCATGTCGCCTGCATTAGCAGCAGATTCTTTACCACTGAGCAACCAAGGAAGCCCACAACCAGGTACTGAATATAGTTTCCTTTAGCTCGGTTTCTGGAAAATAATTTTTTAAAGAATATATGTATATACATATAGCTAAATCATTGATGTGCTATACACTGGAAACTAACACAACATTGTAAATCAACTATAGTCAAAGCGATAGTTTTTCCAGCAGTCATATAAGGATGTGAGACTCGAACCATAGAGAAGGCTGAGCACCAAAGAATTGATGCTTTTAAATTGTGGTGCTGGAGAAGACTCTTGAGAGTCCGTTGGACATCAAGGAGATCAAACCAGTCAATCCTATAGGAAATCAACCCTGAATATTCATTGAAAGGACTGATGTTGAAGCTGAAGCTCTAATACTCTGGCCACCTGATGCAATGAGCCTACTCACTGGGAAAGACCCTGATGCTGGGAAAGACTGAAGGCAAAAGGAGAAGTGGGTGGCTGAGGATGAGATGGTTAGACAGCCTCACCAACTCAATGGACATGAATTTTGGGCAAACTCTGGGAGATGGTGGAGGACAGAGGAGCCTGGTGTGCTATAGTCCATGGGTCACAAAGAGTCGGATGTGACTTAGTGGCTAAACAACAACAAATACGTCAAAAAAGACAAGGGGAACAAGGCGAAATGCCTGCTTCATAAGAGCCACTCTACAAATGTGCCAGACACGTGGCTCTACAAGGAGCCAAAAATCCTTTTCCTCAAGGAGCTTACAATCTGTAAGAAAGGAGATAGGCATTATTTTTTTTAATTGCACAAACATACATAAAGACCTTGTTGGATAAGGAACTTCTGTGGCTCCCTGGATGATAGAGAAGCTGCAGGACTGGAAACAGCTGACCTCCCTCTCTAGGGTGCCAGGGGAAGCCACGAAGGGCAGGGATTCTTTGAACTATGAAATCACCCACAGAGGGCACCACTCAAAGGGAGGAGTTTCTGGCCGCTGCGTGCCCCTGGTGACAGTACACTCCAGGGGCCGGGCTCGGGATCCCAGGGCTGGGGAAGCCGGGCACACAGCAGGGGCCTGCAGAAAGCCGGACATCCCTGAGAGGCAGGAAAACACTCTCCTCCTCCAGTGGCTTTCTAGTGCCCTCTATTGGCGAAGCTCAGCATTGTGCCAGCTGGCAAAGGAAACATACAGGGCCCAGCAGAGCCCGCAACTTACAATAGATTTGAAGCTGAGAGGTCATAAATTGATCACCAGTACACTCTGGTCTCCATATGGTGACCCTTCTAGAAGAAGAGCAAGCAGACGAGTTAGGTACTTAAGTAGAGAAGATCAGAGAGTATAATAAATATATAAAAAGAAGAAAAAATGATAATAACCTATATGGTGCTAGACAAAATATACTTGCAAGTCCCCCATGGGCTATAGGAAAGACACCAAATATCATGGCTTATGTCCATGTGCTACTGGACTTACAGAAGAGCTGTCTCAGAGAGCATGGCTAAGAGAGGGAGGAGGGTGAGCTGTCAGGGGTCCCAGGACAAGGGGCTGGCGGCACCAGCAGAACCGAGGCAATTCTTAGTATACAAAAAGCACAGGTGTAGTACTGCTCCCCAGAGACAGACTCACCAGGTTTAACAGATCAGGTCCAATCAAAGCTGCACTCAATCCACGCAAATACTACCCCAGGTCGGCTTGCAAAAGCAGGCCTTCGAGTCTCAAAAGTTACTAGAGAAAAGTCAGTATAACCTGTGACAAACCATCACTCCCCATTTAAAAAAACTTTTTTAGAACATTTATGTGGCCACACTGGGTCTTGGTTGCGGCACACAGAGTATTTGATCTTTATTGCAGGTATGGCACATGGGATCTTTAGTCGCAACATGCAAACCCTCAGTTGCAACATGTGGGGTCTAGTTCTCTGTCCAGGGATCAAACCCAGGCCTCCTGCGCTGGGAGTGTGGAGTCTTAGCCACTGACCACCAGGGAAAAAAGCTTTTAAATGAATGGTCTTTTTTTCCTTTAACAGTCAGCAAGCCTGGCTTTCTGGTCCTTCACACGCATCTTCAATTTACCCCCCGTGTCAAGATCATCAGCAGGGGCAAGGTGCCCCTACTGATGAGGGAGGTAAAGTGCCAGGTTGTCTGTTAGTGTTTCCAAAACATTAACACTCCAAGTAGGAGAACTTGAGCACCAACTGAGAAGCCAAGGTAGAAGTAAATTTGTCAACAACAAAAATTTACCAAACATAAAAATAAGCAAGTGTATAATGGCACCCTCTGGGAGTGAGACTGAGGATGGGCAGTGGGGCAGTGATTTTTAAATAAACCCTTCTATGTGGTCTGATATATATATATTATTATATATATTATTATATAAATATATTTTATATATTTACATATTATACATAAATATATAATTTATATAAATATAAAATATAAATTATATATTTATGTATATTTTATATATTTTTTAATCCAGGCCTGAAAGGAAAACAGAGAGAAGCTTTCAAATGGTTAAGAGAAAGTTGTTAGATCATTATGACACTGGACTGGAATTTTAATTACTCAAAAAAGATTACCCTTGATTCTGAAGGTGTCTCACGGACTTCTTACCTGAGAGCGGCTAGAGAAGTTATAGGATATGCCTGAGATAGTGAGAAAGAACAGCCTCCTCTCCTGGCATCCCTCTGATTCCAACCCTCTCAATACAAGGGCACCCAGAGGGGGAGAGGGCGTCAGATAGCCGTTTGCTCCGCAGAACTAGGATTTGGACAAGTCTGCATCTAAGGGTGGCCTTGGTTCCCACGATAGAGTTGAGCAAGCTCTTTCACTCCCCAAAAGTTTTGGTTGCTTCTTGCGGGTCGATTTTGATAATGTTGCAAAATTCTTCTTGTTTTGGAGGTGTCAATCAATATATTGAAATATTTGGAAGCATGAATTAGTCATGAAACAAGACCATCCTGGTGGATTTGCAAAGAACTTGGCTAAAAAGTCTTGAACCTATCATTGTGCCCGTAAAGATCCAAAAGGGTAAGAGTAAAGTTTGGAAGGGGTCTGGATGGAGGATTTCTTTATAGAGCCCTGCTGATCCTCTAAGCAGATGCCTGCATCTCTGACTTCCAGCTTAAAGGAACCTCCACAAGACCACCCGAAGAGCTTACAGATTGGGATTCCCAATGAATTGCTGTCTGACTCCCACCCCACCCAGGAAATCTGGAGAGCAGTGCTGTGTTTCACAGGCAGCTGGTTCTTTTCCTTGCAACCTTTCAGAGGGCCCTCCTGCAACACCTTTCCTCCAGCAAACCCCTGACTACACACAGCTCTCAGCTTCCGCATCTAACGCTGCGGCGTTTATGTCCTCTGCTGAGGTCTCCTCACCTCTGAGCAAGGCCCTAAAGGAGAGTCCTTTTCCAAGGGACCACCACGCCCCTCCCTACCACAGACCCACTTGGGGCAGAGCAAACTCACTCATTATTGCCCTGTCTTATTATAACTTGTTCATAATCTAATCTGACCCAGAGGGGAAAAAAAAAACTGCACTTGTCCCACCCGCAAAGCTTTGAATTAACAGCTTGGTCACCAGACATAAATACAAGGAGAGAATACTGGTCCTTCGACGGCAAAGGCTCCAAAACACACACACAATATAGAGTTCTGGTTTGCATAAATGGGGCTGTAAAACAGTCCACCATATTACATAACTATATTTCAATTAACAAATTCCCTACTGGTAGATGGTTAGACTGCTACCGACTTGTTTTAATAACACAATACTGGGAAAACAAACTGCGGTGTCACGTGCGGCACGAGTCAGGCGCAGAGCCTGGATTCTAACTCACGGGAGAGAAACGCCCTCGGTCCAGCAGGCCTCGCCGCCCCACCTGCAGCGCACACGCTTTACCCAAGCGGTGCTTTTTCATGTCCCTCTTTCCGGGTCCCGTAGGCTCCTTCGAGAAGGTCAGGGGTGGCTTCTGTAACAACTCAGCCCTGGAGAGTACACCGCCCCCCACAACCCGCCCTGCAGAGCTTGCTTTCACCTGCCTACCGGGAGACTGGGCGGGGCCCCGAGGGCAGGGAACCTATCAGAACCGAGGCCCCGCCCTCTCCGCATCACCTGCCCAGCACAGGTGGGGTGGTAGCCTACTCAGAGACTTGTGAGGGCTAAAAAAAGTACTGAAACTTCCTGATGCTTAAAGAGCATAAACAAGTTGAAGCTCTTGTTACTGCCTCCACGTCCGCTCACTTTCCTTCCGGCGTCAACAGTAGTGTGGTTCCACCCCTCCCAAGATTCCTCTTGTGCACTCAATCGTCTTTCACCTTCTCAAGAACTTCTACCTGTTGTCACTCATGAGACCTTCACTTTATACTTTTCTAACTGGACCTTCTCCTTCAACCCACCTACCCATCATGTATACATAAATATCCTGTTGTCTTAGCTCCTCACCACTATATCCACCTTTCCTTTGTCACTCTTGCCTACTGAAAACCAAAAAGTCACCACATTCGTCTCTTCTTCATCCCTCCAACCCCACCTACTTCACAGGAATCTGGCTTCTTCTACCCACTCCACTGAAACCGCCCCCAGCAGGGTCTCCCGTGGCGGTGTCATTGAGTCCAATGGCCGTTTCCGGGCTGGGATCCTTACAGCACGTGGTACGCTGGCCTCTGTTCGCGGTAAACCCCTCTGCTGCGCCCTCTGCTGGCCACACCGCTCACACCCATGACGGGTTTTCCCACCTCTCTGATCCCTCTTGAACTGCCAGGAAGGGTTTGTCTCCCTCACCTTCTGCTGGTTCCCGGCCCACTCTAGTCCTCTGTACCTTTCACTTTCCACAACTTTCCATGGGTGAGCTCTTCCACATCACTGTTTTGTTGTGCCGATGACCCCCACGTCCATACTTCTAGTCCAGACCTTTCTTCTGGGCTTCACGCTCTTGGCTGTCCCAAGGGAACTTCAGACTTACCACCTCCAAAATTTATCTTTTCCAGAAAACCTGCTTCAACTTTTACACATCTTTTCTTGTGTTCTTCGGTCACTGGATGACGTCACGTGCTGCCTCAAGCCAGGTATCCAGGCAATGCCTTAGATTCCTCCCTCTCCTCCACACCCAGTTGTGAGTCAGGTTCCCTAGGAAACAGACTCTAAGACTTCTGCGCAAGTAGTCTGGGGGTACGTGGGTACCTGCAGAAACAGCACCTGTGAGGGCTTAGTGAGGAAGGATGGGGTGAGGGAATTAGTTCACGGTGGCCTGATGAGCCCTTGACCTGAAATGGCCCTTCAAAACTGTCCCACACTGAATGCAAATTAGTACAGCCACTATGGAAAACAGTGTGGAGATTTCTTAAAAAGCTGGAAATAGAACTGCCATATGACCCAGCAATCCCACTTCTGGGCATACACACCGAGGAAACCAGATCTGAAAGAGACACGTGCACCCCAATGTTCATCGCAGCACTGTTTATAATAGCCAGGACATGGAAGCAACCTAGATGCCCATCAGCAGATGAATGGATGAGGAAGCTGTGGTACATATACACCATGGAATATTACTGAGCCATTAAAAAGAATTCATTTGAATCAGTTCTAATGAGATGGATGAAACTGGAGCCCATTATACAGAGTGAAGTAAGCCAGAAAGATAAAGACCATTACAGTATACTAACACATATATATGGAATTTAGAAAGATGGTAACGATAACCCTATGTGCAAAACAGAAAAAGAGACTCCTATGTATAGAACAGACTTGTGGACTCTGGGAGAAGGCGAGGGTGGGATGTTTCAAGAGAACAGCATCAAAACACGTATATTATCTAGGGTGAAACAGTTCACCAGCCCAGGTTGGGTGCATGAGACAAGTGCTCGGGCCTGGTGCACTGGGAAGACCCAGAGGGATTGGGTGGAGAGGGAGGTGGGAGGGGGGATCGGGATGGGGAATACATGTAAAAAAAAAAAAAGATACACTGTGGTTGTGATAAAATAAATTTAAAAAAAATAAATAAATAAAAAATAAATAAATAAATAAATATGACAATTAAAATAAAATAAAATATTTAAAACCTCAAAAAAAAAAAAAAAACAAACTGTCCCACACTTAGGCAAGGGGGAGCCCCATACCTCCCAGTTAACCAGTCACTGGATATGGTGGACGACTCTCGGGAGAGGATGTGACCTTAGGTGAGGTGGCTCTCTTTGCTGAGGGTAATTCCTGTGGAGGGACTAGGCTGAGTGCCATCAGCCATTAAAACACCCAGCCTCTGGAGGAGCAGGTGTCTAATTCTAAAGAGAGAACCCAGGCATCACACCACAGGACCCACTACATGTCTCACGCTCATTAGTCACCGTTTTACCTGTTTCTGCATTTTAATTTTCAAACCAGATCCCACCTCCCTCACACGACTCTTTACTATTCAAAAAAGTATTTGAGAGTCTGAACACATCAGGCCCTATGGTGAGGACAAAGTGATGGGTAAAGGAGGCACGACTCCAGCTTTCAAGATGCTTACAATCTAGTTGAGAAGTAAACATACATCAGTTCAGTTCAGTCACTCAGTCGTGTCTGACTCTTTGCCACCCCATGGACTGTAGCACGCCAGGCTCCCCTGTCCATCACCAGCTCCCAGAGCTTACTCAAACTCATGTCCATTGAATCGGCGATGCCATCCAAGCATCTGTCACCCCCTTCTCTCCATCCAACCATCTGTCATCCCCTTCTCCTCCTACCTTCAATCTTTCCCAGCATCAGGGTCTTTTCAAGTGAGTCAGGTGGCCAAAGTACTGGAGTTTCAGCTTCAGCATCAGTCCTTCCAATGAATATTCAGGACTGATTTCCTTTAGGATGGACTGGTTGGATCTCCTCGCAGTCCAAGGGACTCTCGAGTCTTCTCCAATACCACAGTTCAAAAGCATCAATTCTTCTGCACTCAGCTTTCTTTATCGTCCAACTCTAACATCCATACATGACTACTGGAAAAACCATAGCTTTGACTAGATGGACCTTTGTTGGCAAAGTAATGTCTCTGCTTTTTAATATGCATATATATACTTTAAAACTGTAAGTGTTCTAAAGAAAAGCTAAAAGTACAGAATGCTATGAGATCTTATAACAAGGGAGGCTTGCCCAGCCTGGGAGTGGGGTGGACGCAGGGAAAGCTTCCCTGAAGAAGTGTCATTTGAGCCAGCATCTGAAAGGTGAATGGGCATTACCAGGTTTGTGCTTGGTTGTTGGTACAGGCTAGGTGGAAGGGATGAGGACCAGTATGGAAACTGCCTATGCAAAGGTCCTGATAGGTGGAACAAGATGTTGGAGGACCCGAAAGAAGACCAGCGTATCTCAGCATGTCTAGAATTCAGAAACTGAGGGGGAAGAGCAGTAAAAGATGACCTGAAGTGGCAGGCAGGAGCCAGCTCCTACAGAGCCAAGTGGGTCATTTTCCTTAAAAGTAATGAAAGCCACTGAACAATTATAATCTTTATGTAATATAAATGGTATACCTTAGTCAGGCAGCATATTCAACTATCCCCAATCAATGCAGATAAAATCATCATAAAGTAGTTAAAATAAATTCTGCTAATCTTAAGTGCTGAGGGCAAAAAAGAAAGTTTGTTAATGCAGATACTATCATTACAATAGCCTACTTCTTTACCTCTAATGGCTACTTGTGGTTCCTCTGAAAAGTAACACCTAGCTGTTACTGCTTACTAAATACCAATGTTAAGTGCTCTGCATAAATTACCTCACTTAATAAAACACTTTTACAAAGTGGGACAATTTAGAAAGTCAGATACAGAGAATGCAGCACACCCAAGTTCTCACAGTCAGGATGTAAATGGCAGAGCAGGACATGAAGCCAGATGTCCAATTACAAAGCTAAAGCTCTTGACTGCTCCACTAAACACCCCACTGAAGCTTTGGGAAACACCTAACTGCACCTGACTTTGAGTATTTTCCCCACTGCCATAAACTTCCTCTCATCATGACTGCTCATGAGCTCAGACCCCTTTTGTAAATCAGGGTTAACCTGACTCCAGGTCAGGTTTGGAACACACACACCCTTAGATACCACACAACAAACCACAGGTTACCTTTTGAGGGCCACTCCTAGAACCAGAGCACTTTTTCCTAGCGATCCCACCCGATCCTCATTTATTCTCCCTTCACCAGCCCATGACTTTGCTGCCACAATCTTCTGGCAGGTAAATCTACCAGTTTTAACAAATACTTGCTAGAGGAATGCAAGCTTACCAGAATATGAGCACTTGAAAAACGAAGCAAATCTATTACAATCTCCTCTAAAATTTTATGATTATCATCATGTTTGTGATTTTTATGTTAAAGCTTGCCCTCTATTTCTAATCAAAAGTGGTTATGTTTCAATTTGCAGGTTTATAAACACTTGTGAGGACTTCCCTGGTGGCTCAGAAGGTAAAGCGTCTGTCTACACTGCGGGAGACCAGGTTAGATCCCCGGATTGGGAAGATCCCCTGGAGAAGGAAATGGCAATCCACTCCAGTACTACTGCCTAGAAAATCCCATGGACAGGGGAGCCTGGTAAGTTAAGTCCATGGGGCTGCAGAGTGGGACACGACTGAGTGTAAAAAGAAAAAAGACTAAACACTAGTGAAAATATCCACTAGATGTCAGCCTTGAGCTACAACAGGTTTCCTGGGATGCGGCCAAGGACTATTGAGACAGCATGAAAGTGTTGGAAGAATGAAGATTTTTCGTTGCAGTCTGAACTAAGGAACTTTAGCTAGCTTTTTGTATGAACACAGTGGTTTGAATTTTCAATGAGTAAAAACAGATCAATAAATTACCTCATGTCACATGCTCAACAAGTTCTAACATGCGCCCCCTTATTCAAAGTAAAAACCAAACTCCTTACCACAGCCTATAAACAGTCTTCCATCCTTAGCCACT